TACACCTATCCTGACTTTAACAACAACAATAATATTAATAATTACAATAATAATAATAATAATAATAATAATAATAATAATAATAAAAATTATAGTAATACGTTTCAATTACTTTTCGTATGTAATAAATAATTTTTCAACTGTAGATTCATTTAGCCAATAAGACGATAGTATAGGAGGCAATAAAATAACAGTGGGGAAACAGTCAACCAATCAGATGACAGGGTGGGAAATATAACCAATAACAGCGAGTTTTTGGTTGTTGTTGATATCTGTTTTATTATTGTGTAAATATTCCCTCGTTTTTCTCCTTCTGGTTAATTATTCCCATTTTTATGTCTCATTGGATAATTTTACCCATGTTCATTTGTAATGGCTAAATAGTTTCGTGATCTCTTCTCATTGGCTAAATAGGTCTGTGGTCTCTTCTCATTGGCTATAAAATTCCGTGGCCTCCTCTTATTATCTATAAAGTTCCGTGGTCGCTTCTCATTGGCTAAAAAGTTCCGTGGTCGCTTCCCATTGGCTATAATGTTCCGTGGTCTTTCTCTTATTGTCTATAAAGTTCCATGGTCTCTCCTCATTGGCTAAAAAATTCCGAGGTCACTTCTCATTGGTTAAATTTCTGGTTAGTTCAGCCAGTCGTTAAGTGAATAATAAAACATTTCTCGGATCTTAGTAGTGTTAGATATGTCTAGTTACTGTGACGGAATATTGAGGATATTACCGTGATGAATACCTGGCGACTTACCTATGATTGAGTTTATCTGTCTGTCACTTATCTAATGAAGTAATCCCCCCAAATTTACACCAGTATTGATATATAATGTTTGTTTTTTTCGTCACTTGTTCTCATTTTCTGTTTACATTTTCATTTTTTACACTTGCATTCTATACCATCCTTGTTTATCATCTTTATCCATCTACCTTTACCTAATTATTCAACGTACGTAGTGGATAGAGAAGCATAGTTTAGTGTGTGTGTGTGTGTGTGTGTCAGGTGTAGGCGGTTGGTTCATTACCTCTACTCTCATGTACAAAGTGAAATATTGACAAACAGACTCTTTTGAGGGCGGTGGGATGGATTGCTTTACCACAGATTATATGGGTCTCGATTCAGTTGGTTCTCAGTCAAAATAAACCCTAACTTGAAGGCTAACCATTAACCTCCTCACTTCGGGGACTCCACTTTTCTTATTTTAACGTAAGATGATTTTATTTAGCAGAGAGGGGACCCTCTACAAAAGTGGCTATGCATTTGTCCCCTTAGGATTGTGGTCCTCTAGGAGTGGGGCCCTTTAGGAATGGCCCTCCTTCGGTTTAGAACCTCTTAGTCAGGTTAGGTTGGTGTCTAGTAGGACTGAATCAATTAAGACTGGGATTTATTAGGACTGGAACCCATTTACTCAGTCAACAAATCGGATGAGTGATAATAACAATGAAGTATAGTATAAGGAGGATAATATTCAATTATCTAGGTAATAATTCTGCGCAGCTTTTATTCATGGGAGGATTATACAAGGAAAATTTAAAACGAACAAAACAAAACTACTCATGTCGGTACTATAGGACTGTGAGGGCCGTTCTTAGGCAGCCAGCCCTCACTGCCACTACACGAAAAGCTTCTCAGGAACATGCACGGAGATGGTCGTCCCTCAACTTGGAGGAAGGGGATGGGGTGGAGTGGAGTTGGAGGGTTGGGAGGGGGAGGAGTTGCGTAAGTGGGTCTTCCTGCTATTGGAGGTTTCAAAAATTCAGTCAGACGCCTTGGAGGGATGGGTTCTCCTCCTCCTCGCTAGATGAAGGAATGAGATGTCTTACTTCACTATAGATGAAGGAAAGACATGTCTTCCGCCTCACTAGACCGAAGAACGAGTCCTCCTACTCCACTCTAGTTGAAGGAAGGAGATGTCCTCCTCCACCTCCTTACTTGTGGTTGTTTTAGCCTCGGCGACGCTGGTCCTCTGCGAAGCGTATCTGCTCGATGGCGTGGGCGGGGAGGGGGTGAGGGGTGGGGATGAGGGGGGACTGGGGTCGGTATCCCAGCTCATCGGCCTCATAGTTCACCTCACCAGTGCCGCCCTCAGGGAATGGGAAGCTGGGAGGGGTGGGGGACACGTAAGAAATTAACACCATATAATACAAGTTATCATTTTAAGATGTTACTTTATAATTCAGTGTAAAGTTTAACCCTATATTGGCTCGGATTTAGTAGTATAAGATTAACACTAGATTAACTCATGAATTACTGTCTCACCTAAAGCCGCCCTGGATATTGCTCTGGCCGCGGCTGCCTGGGGTGCCGGTGGCGTGAGCATTGATGCCGTGTTCCGTGATGAAGTGGTACCTGAACCTGCCGTCGCCGTGGTCCTCCCGGGTGTCCGACACGATGCCGATGTGGCGGTAGTCCGGACGATACTGAGGACCGGCGAGGGCGACGGCGGCCAGGCTTATGAGGATCACCTGAAGGAGGATGACAATGAAGAGGAGTTGACTTCAGGTCAGGATCATAAGGATTTTAGCGTCAGTACGAGCAATTGACAGTGCCTGGCGGAAGTTCCCCGAAGACATGACTATGTTATGGTAATAAAGAGGATTCCACAGCACCTTGGAGCTACGTCAGCTAAACATTCGCCCGCATTCTGCCATTACTGGAACTCTTTTTATGGCACAAATATGATGAAACAACGCCTGAATTTAGTATGAGCGTTAGGGTGAAAATAATTAATACTAATTTATTCTTCAAAAAACGACGAATACAGTGTTAGGTGATGATCGAGTGTATGTGTTGTGCTGAAGTTAAAACTGTTTTCTGTGACGTTGTAAACAATTATTCTCATGAAGACAGGAAGAAACCTTTGTGATGTAAACATTAGTCAGTGTGAATAATATGATTGTCTGAATATAAAACTAAGTGTTATAAACTATTTAAATTAAATGCAAATTTACCATCAAAGTATTATTACTGATGTTTCATTTACTGAGTATAAGTATGAACATAGTAATAGTTCTTCAGATACAGTCAATACAGTGATAACAAAACTCTGTCAACAAAACTGTAACAATATCCTACCGGGTCCTTCAGGAATCCTCGTGATCCTTCTGTAACTTATACTTAAGTGTTGATGACTCGTGTGTGTACTGATCTAGTCTCCGCACATAACACCTTACATGTTAGAGATGAGTAATATCTTGTATCACAACAACCTTCTGTAAACACTTTAATGAACTAATAATGTGACGCATCTGTTGCATGCAAAACCAAGTAGATCTCCATACGTATGAACATTTTACAGACACTTTTGCCGCCCCAGTTTTACTAAGATTACAACAATATTCTAAGATTTTTTTTTTGATGACAGCTTCTTTTACTTACAAGTCTCATTTTGAGGGTGTGGAGAGCAGGTGTGAGGACCAGGTGTGAGGACCAGGTGTGAGGATGGTGATGTACGGAGAACAGAAGGTGCGCAGTATATATACCCGACACTTACCTGGAGGAGCATCCCCAGATCCTTGTGCTCATCTCTGCACGATTCTGGAGCGCCCCAAGGACGGGTGTGTCACAGGACAAGTTCCTCCTCAGAATGTCACGCCCCTCTTGACCTGAGAAGAAGATCCTTGATGATCCTGGACCTCTTGCAACAACAGTGAAGAAGCTAACGGCACCGTGACACGCTGGTTGCAACAGAAGGCTCAGTGTTAATTGTAAGGTAATGTGTGGAGGGAAAGTTGTCCTGAGGCACACTTTCAGTTTTCTGTGTTGCTGTTTCCACCGTCCTCTTGTGGCCGCTCGACAAACAACACAAACTATCCGACACCAATACTCAAACTCTTCATCATCTGCTGCCTCAGACAATATGTACCAAATCCATCTGCCCAGACAGACAGTAAAAGCAAAGAAGGGGGAGATTACAGCCTTAGTTCCCAAAGTATTCTGTAAAAAATCAAGCTGAAATAATAATAAAAGGACGCGTCTGTCTGTCTGTCCGTTTGTGAGTGTCTGTCTGACTATTCCAGCCATAACTCCAAAACGGAAGCAGTTAGAGACCTGAAACTTTAGACTTATATTACATGGGTACTAGTGCACCATGGTTCACCCTATTCTCCAAGCAAGAACCAAAAATCTTCCCCGGAGACATCATGGGAAGTGGGTTAACCGTGTCAGGGAGGGCAAGCTGTGACAGTCAAGGTTATACAGTATAAACCTAACCCAGACGAAGAAGGGAAAATATACTAGTAAAGAAATAAAAGCAGACGCCTTTGTTAATATTCAATAAGAATATACAAAAGGACACCATTATGCTCACCTGCAATACCTAGACGAGGAAATTGTCTTCTTTAACCTTGAGGTATAAATCCTTCCATTTCTTGAGGATATATTCAACAATATTTCTCACATATTTGTTCTTCTTGACATGGAAAAAAAAATAATAATACAATATAAAAGTTATTAGTCACAAGAAAAACCTGTCAAGTAGATAAATAAAGGTAATAACATCAAAATAAACATAAATAACTCATAAAACATTTTTAAAAACCACTTCTTGAAATTTGTTGAAGATATGTTAAAGAAAGACCAACACACGCAATAAAATTTCCAAGTGTAATTATTAGAGAAACAAAAAGAAAATAAATTATTATGAATATGGGAATTTGTTAAAGTAAATGGGGATAAATACATAATAGCAATAACGTTAATTAGTTTATATTATCTTAACCTAACCTAACCTAACCTTATGGGGTGTTATTATGTGTTAAGGTTTACTGGCACCTGAAGATTAGCACCCCACCCCCAGGTAGCATCAGGGGTGGTTAATCTTCAGGTGGTTTTTAATAAAGGGGTAGAGAGAATTTCCATGGGAGTTGTGGTGAAAAGAAAGACGGGCCACTACACCCATTACTACTACACCCACCACTACACCCATTACTACTACACCCACCACTACACCCATTACTACTACACCCACCACTACACCCATTACTACTACACCCACCACTAC